GGGGGGGGGAGGTGCCAGAAGGTAGCTTCGCCTAGTGTGCAAAAAAACCTGGAATCAGCCCTGGGCGGAGGCAAATCTTATTTCCCAACGGGAGTCAGTCATTAGGGGACAGTTGGCTTTTGCTTGGCTGCATGTCAATACCGCCCCTCCCAATTGCAAAGGCGTGAACATGGAATCAAGCACACCCTCCCGTTGGCTGTTGTGTTGTTGGAGATGGGACAGTGCATCGGCAAGCGAGTTTGATTTCCCCGGGAAATGGTGTAAGATAAAGTTAGACTTGGAGAAGAAATCAGCGCATCGGAGCTGTTTAGAATTCAGATTTTGGGGCGTGCGCATCCCCTCCAAGTTTTTATGATCAGTCCACACCTCGAACGGCACCCTCACCCTCTCCAGCCAGTGTCTCTAGGTAGAGAGTGCTAATTTAATAGCTCCCATCTCCTTGTCCTAAACCTACCAATTACACTCAGTATCGTTCAATTTCCGGGAGACGTAGGAGAGGGGATGGAGTTTGCCATCTTCCCCTTTTTGCAAAATGGTGCCACCTATAGCAACGTCAGAGGCGTCAACTTGCACAATAAATTGTTTCAGTTTGTTTGGATGAGCCAGCATGGGCTCGGAGGTGAATAGGGCTTTGAGATGATTGAATGCCTCTTGGCATTAGTTAGTCCAGTTCAGTTTAGCCCCAGGGCAGGTGCACTCCGGGCCCTTTCCCTTAGTCCTCCTTAAATCCGTGAGCGGTAAGCTCACCTGAGCAAAGTTTGCAAGAAAGAACTGGTAAAAATTCGCAAATCCGAGGAATGCTTGGAGTTGTCTCCGTGTTCGAGGGGGCTTCCACCCCACCACATCCCAAACCTGAGCCGAATCCATTTCCAAGCCCCGGGGGGAAATGTGGTCTCCCAGGAAGTCTATCTCAGAGCAATGAAACTCACACTTGGATAGTTTACCAATAGTTTGTGCTTGTGCAACATTTGGAGGACCTCCCACACCAGCTTGATGTGGGAAGGTTTATCAGGGGAATAAATCAGAATATCATCAAGGTAAACAATCACTCCCTTGAACAGGTTCTTGTGCAACACTTCATTGATGAAGTTCATGAAGACTCCAGGGGCCCCCTGGAGCCCAAACGGCATCACCCGATAATCAAACTGCCCCAACAGAGTGTTAAAGGCAGTCTTATACTCATCCTCAGCTTTAATGCGGACTTGGAAGTAGGCATCTCTGAGGTCTAATTTAGAAAAGATTTTCCCCTTAGCCACCTCGGTTAGGAGATTCTTCATGAGAGGTAGGGGGTATGCATTTGTGGTAGAGACAGCATTTAACCCTCGGTAATCCATGCACAACCTCAGCCCACCATCATTTTTCTTCTGAAACAACACCGGAGCTGCAAACGAGGAGGATGCAGGTCAGATGAAACCCCGCTCCAAGTTTTTATCAATACATTTGCACACTTCCTCCTTTTCCCCTGGATTCATCGCATAGAGTTTACCTTTCGGCAACTTTGTGTTTGGGATTAGTTTGATTGCACAGTCAGAGTGTCTGTGAGGGGGCAATTCATCTGCCTCCTCTTCTTTGAACACTCGTGACAAGTCCCAGTACTCCACAGGAATGGATTTCAACTCCTCCTTGGCCAGACAAGCTTGCACCAGTTCATCTGGAGGTATCCCCCCTCAGGGGTCCTCCCAAATGTGCTTCTGGCACTTAGGAGAAATAAATTTGACCACCCCCTTCATCCCATAAAATGTAGGGATCGTGGTCATAAAGCCACGGGCTACCAAGTACCATAGCAGCAACTGTGGTGATGACAAAAGTTCTGTTTGTCATGATGCGGGGCTAGGCAGGGGCGAGGCAGTCAGAATACAGTCCAAAGTCAAGAGCCAGGTATACAAGTTAGCTGAAAAACCAAGTTCAATACACAAGGCCAGAGTGGGATAGTCAAGGTATAGTCCAAACTCAAGAGCCAGGCAAGTGAACCAACTGGAAAGCCAAATTCAAATCATAAACCGTTAGAGTCATCAGGAAACCAGACTCCAAAAGAGTCAAGAGCCAGATAGTCAAAAGTTCGGGGTGCAGAGTTGTAGTGTGGTCATTCAAGCCAGGGTCAAGAAGCCAAGGAAATCCAGACAGGAACCAGGAGTTGGGATCACGATCGAGGAGGTGCAGAGCTTTCGTCTGAAGAGACTAGTTGCTGGCATGATTTGTGAGCGTGAGGGTGTGGATTAAATAGTCCATAAGCCTGCTGGCAATTAGCGCACCTCAAGCGAGTCCCGGATCCTGCTAATACTCGGGGCTGAATGAGCGCCTACCACACATGCGTGCCTCTCGCCACCGGGATGCCAAATCCCAGCAGCACTGTTCCCTCAAGCGGGATACTGCCGGTGGTGACTCAGGAGGAGAACTGTCCAGGCATGCTTCTGCCTCAGCTGTTGCAAGGGTAGCCTCTGAAAGCTCAGGTCTGTCAGGTACGGGAGTTTCTGGCATTGAGAGCTCATCTCCAGCAGCACTTAGATCCTCCACTGGGGCCGCTTGTTTGCACTCGGTGGGAGCTGCTTGCTTGCAGTAAGCATGAGCTGTGACACTATTTTCCCAATGAGCTTGTGTTCCCATTCGCAAAGGCACAGTCTCGTACTTACAAGGGTCCTTCATAGCCGACCCATCCATTTAGGTAAACACAATGGGATCTGGAAGCCGGACCATTTTGCCCCCAACCCCGTCACCAGGGAGGGGTTGATTAAGTCTCGGCCACAACCCAAGACTATTAGAGCTCGGGCCTGGATGTGGGTACCAAGCTCCGAGTTCTAGACAATCACAGTCACAGTCACAAAAAATAGGGAGGAGTATTCACTCACTGTTTTTGGCGCCTCGGGGTTCAGGAGCTGCTGTTCTGTGCTGCTCACTGCAGGTCCTGCGCGTTTCCAACCGGTGGATCCTCACCCTCACTTAATGAGTCTGGGTCCTCTTCCGGGACACTCACTTCCAGGGCCTTTTGGTTCTTTGGTAGAGACGCGGTCTTCTTCACAGGAGTGTCCCCCCGTCTTTTCTCCGGCACCTTCTTCACTGGACCCTGGGATCTCACTCCTGGGCAGGAGGCTCCAAAGTGGCCCAACAAGCCACATTTCAGACATAGTGCTTGCTTCATTCGCTAGTCTTGCACCCCCTCCTTCTTCAGCTGAGGGATTTTGGGTTTTGGCAAGGCCAGGATGGTCTTACCCATGGTGGTTGCATTGTCTATCTTGATAGTCCTCAAGCGGGTCTCCGCATCCGCTTCCTTGCGTATCCACGCGTTGAGGGACACTGGATGGACGCTATGTAGGACCGTCTCTCTGACCTTGGGGTGTAAGCCCAGGTGGTACTGCTTGGCTAGTACTTCATCGGGCCAACCTCGAATCTTGGCAGCCTGGCACTTGAACTCCTCCATGTGAGCTTGAACCAACAACTTGCCTTGTTTGAAGGTGTGCAGGAAAGCTCGAGCGTGTTCACCGGCATTCATGTCTTCATACTGGGACCAGAGAGCCCACATAAAAGCATCCACCGATTTGAGCTCTGGCCCGTCGGTGTTGTGCACACCCACGTACCAATCTGCCGCCTCGTCTCACAACTGGGATGCGATATAGTCCACCTGGCGTTCTTCATTGGGGAACAGGTGGCCCCAATTCATCACAAATTTCTGGGCACAAACCATAAAAAAGGCAGTTTTTCGAGGGTCCCGTCAAACGTCACCTCCAGGGGCTTCATAGGTCAATGCACCTCCTGGCCGGGTTGTGCAGGCACCACATTCCCTGGAGGGTCCTGGGGAGGGTTCCTCGAGGCTCCAGGTGGGATGTGCAGTGGTGCTGGAGCTTGGTGCGGTGGCTGTGCTGGCACTAGGCACTTTACTTCCCTCTGCACCACTCCCGCTACCATCTCCGGTAGTTTCTTGAGAAAATTCTTGATCATTTTCATCATTTGGTCGAAACCACACTCCAGTAAATCCAGGCAGGTATTAGTAAATTCTCTGGGAGCCTTGGTCCCCCCGTGGCTCCCTCCAACTCATAATCCGCCATTTGGGGAGGCTGCTCATAACGGCTTATCCTGCATGGACCCGCAGGTGAAGGGAGAGTCCAGGTCTCATGTTGGTCCATGCTGAATCAGCCCAAGCAGGGCCCCCACAACCTGGTAGTCACTTGAGGCTTCACCCCTCTGAAAAGGTCCAAGAGTTGTTCAGCCCCAACCTGGTCCACATCCTGAGGATTGGGTTCCTTGGGCATAGTTTCAGTGCCCTGATCCTCGTGGTGGAGTTGGTCTTTCTCTTCCTCCTCATGGTTGTGTTCCTTGCTCTCACTCATCTCAGCCAAGAGAGTTGGGTCGAAGGATGTAAGATTCCTGACACTTTGTCAGGGTCCTTAGTCAGGGCACACCACACCGGGCTTCATAAGAAGATAAGTGTTTATTGATGATCCCAGTACTAAAGAACACATATACAGCTTGTGTCAGGAATAGCCTACAGTATAATGGCCTCTGACTTATAGTGTAATCAAATGCCCCCCCCATGAGCTGAAGCCAATGACTATAATTCACGCGTGTGGGCTGAAACAAGCAGCAAGCGGGCCAAGTGCAAAAACCGTTAGCTTTCCCAGCCGAGTTAATTGCATCTGGGAACAATAACAAGGTCAAGCAAGAGATAGCGCACAGAAGCTGGACAGAGAAGAGCTGATAACGAGGAGGAGGTGCATCCCTCCACATTCCAGATCTATGACAGGGCTACCTGACACCAACAAAGGGGCCATGCTTTTTTTAAATATGTTTATTTTTGTAAGTTTTCTATATATTACATCATATCTTTTGTCTCCTTGCTTTACATAAATCATTAAGTTCCCCCCTCCCTCCCTCTACCCCTTGTTTGTTGGTCCTTCGCCACTGAGTTCCCTTCCCTGCTTCCAGCTGGTGAGGCATTCTACCCCTCGATAAAAGACAAACGGGTTAATACCTTAGCTTGAAATAACTTACTGGTGGAAGAGCGAGTTTCTTTATGCCCATGTGCCCTTTCCCCAGTCTGTGTACCAGGTGGGGATATTCCTGCGGCTTGCTATTACATCATATCTTTTGTCTCCTTGCTTTACATAAATCATTAAGTTCCCCCCTCCCTCCCTCTACCCCTTGTTTGTTGGTCCTTCGCCACTGAGTTCCCTTTCCTGCTTCCAGCCGGTGAGGCATTCTACCCATCGATAAAAGACAAATGGGTTAATACCTTAACTTGAAATAACTTATTGGTGGAAGAGTGAGTTTCTTTATGCCCGCGTGCCCTTTCCCCAGTCTGTGCACCAGGTGGGGATATTCCTGCGGCTTGCTCCACAGCTTTTAACTGGTTCAAAATAGCCTGTTGGACCTCCTCATCTGTTGATGAAAAGGCAGGTGCAGGCCTCTTGGAAGGTGGCTTGGGGGCTGGCTGCTTGCCCTTGGAATGGCCAGTGTCTTTTTTGGGAGCCATGTTACCGGTATGCCACTGGCTCTCCAATGTGTTATTACGGAAACCTACCAGCTCTACAAAATGGCTGCCTTACTTCCTTCCCAAAATGGCCAACCGGAGCTGGGACCCAAAATGGCCACCACCAAAGATTACAAAATGGCCACCCTTCCAAACCACAAGCCACTCAGATCAGACAGCTTACCATGCAGGTACCCACCACCTGAAGTAAAAAGGGAGGGATGACTGGGGCTGTGTGCTCCCACCTTCCACTTGGGGTTCGCCCCAGTAATACTCCCAGCCACCCAAGGCTAGCCTGACCCCCCCAAGTAAACTGCTTATCTGTGCCACAAGGCCTTTACTGCCGCACTGCTCCCAATGGGTCTGGGGCAGCTGCAGACCAGCACATGGCTGGTCAGGGGCTGCTGCACACCGCCACGACCAGCAAGCTGGCTGCTACCACCAGGTGCACCATGCCACCGCCCACTATTGGTGCCGAGCTGCACGCCACGGTGGCATATGGGATTGCCTGCCACCGCTCGGCCTGACCAAGCCCAACAAGCATCCACCCGTGATGCCCATCGGCGCACTGAGGAACTCCCCCACATGCCTAGCAGAGCAGGTAGGCCCTAAGTCAGAAGACAATGCAGCAGAGTTCCTAGCTGGCTGAAACCTTAACAGGAATGCTGCTGAGGAGTGGAGGGGCCGAACTACCAGGGCACTAACAACAACAACTCACCAAACAGACCAAAAACCAGACAGTACAGCTTTTAAAACTACAGCCCTAACCCCACCAAAAAGGGTGGGTGAAACAAGGCAAAACCGCCCCCCACCCAAGCAACAAGAAACAGTGAAACTGTGGAACTTATAAACCTTTAAATTTTTTTAAGAGGA